TGGGAGCGGGAGAGAGGCGCGGGGGGAGTGGCCGAGCGCAGGCGCCCCGCAGCGCGAGCGCGCGGAGAGGCGTCGTTGGGGTGCGGGTGCGTGTCGGGGACGCGCGCGATGAACGTGGTGGTTTAACCGAACGCCCCCGCCTTTCTGAGCGCGCGCCGGAGGCGGTGGCTTCCAACGGGCGCGGGGGGGAGGAGCGCGGGCCGTCGGGACACACAGGCGGGGACTCGGGGAGAACGTGTTTCGCGCGTGGGCGGCGTGAAACGCGGAGAGCGGAGGAGGCCGCGCTGGCGGGGGTGCGGGGCGTGCCGGCCGGGCGCGCGGCGTGGGAGTCGTTTCGGGGCGCAGAGAGGGCTCTGCGCGCTCCCTCCAGGCCGGCGCCGAGAACGAGTTCCTGCGGCGGTACTTGTCATGAGAGGCGATTGGGCGGCCGCGAGACATTTTCATGGCCCAGCAACTTCATAAAACACAGTTGTGTACCTCTCTCTGCCAGTTCTGGGAACGGATAGGTGTGGTGAGTCGCTTGACAGAGCAGTTAGGTTTTTGCATTCTGATGGAAAGTAAGACTTTTTGCTTTGAGTGCAGTTGTGCGTGTGCTAGTGAATTGACTTAAGTCAAGTTTAAGTCATTTTGAAGCTACAGTGCAGGAAGGGAGTTTGAAGGGTTCCGTGGAAAGCGATGTTTTAAAAAACAAGAAAGAAGTGTTCATTATTCTGTGACTTTCTGCCCTGCACCTATTATACATTCCTCCTTTTCCTGGACGTATCTGTTTTAAATCTAATAAAAATGTAAGACAGTTTGCTAAAAACAGCTTCAAGCCGGTGTGATGGCGCACGCCTGTAATCCCAGCAGTCGGGAGGCTGAGGCAGGGGGATCGGTCCAAGTTTGAGACCAATCTGGGCTGCAAAGCAAGCTCAAGGCCAGCCTGAATTGCATAGCGAGAGCCTGTCTCAAAAAGACAAAAAGAAAAACCAAAAAGCAACTTCAAAACCAGTTATATGTAGTTGATAAGGGAAGACTGTAATTCCATTTGTTTCCTTGGTTTTATCTGCAGTTGCAGTATATTATTTGAAATACTTTTATGTTTTGCTTGTTAACTAGTTGCAGATCTACGGAAGTTGGTTGACTGACTTGTATATTCCCATAAGTACGTTCATGCGTAATTTAAAACATGAAAAAATAGGGTAATACTAAAAGTGTCGAATACTGTGCATCATACAAAAAAGTTATTTAGGAGATTACAGCTATGCCTGTTTAAATAGATATGACGTGCCACAATGGACTGTATCTTTTTTTTATTTTTTTGAGACAGAATCTCACTAGGTAGTTCAGGTTGTCCTTGAACTATGTAGCCCAGGCTAGCCTCAGACTTGCACAGATCCACCTGCTGCAGCCTCCCGAGTGCTGGGATTACAGGCGTGCGCCACCATGCCCAGCAACAGAAAAAAGGAAAAAACGATAGGTTTTTTTGTAAGAACACTCGTTGGGGAGAGTGCTGGAGAGTGAACTCCGGGTTTTGTGCAGGCTAGGTATGTGCTCTGCCATTGAGTTACCCCCCACCTGTCAAAGATCATTATTATGTAAGTATTCCCTTCCCAGTTTATCTTTGTCTTAATGTATATATTTAGACTGTTTGGTGGAAAAGACCTAACTAGCTAGCTAGCCCATTAGTCCCGCATCAAACGTTCAGTAACTGTTGTCAGCTTTAAGCAGCCTTATTAAAGTATCCCATTAGATTATGTCTAATACAGTTAATGTGTTTAATTGTGCAGGTATACCTAATAAGTTAACCGTGGTTATAGTTTCCTCTTGTATTCGTTTAAAATAAACTTTTAAAATGCTTACTTGCTTTTGTTTTTTTGTTTTTGTCTTTTTGAGACAGGGTCTCGCTATGCAGTTCAGGCTGGCCTTGAACTCACTTTGTAGCCCAGGCTGGTCCTGAACTCGCAACGATCCTTCTGCCTCAGCCTCCTGAGTGCTGGGATTACAGGTGTGAGCCACCACGCCTGGCCACTCTTACTTGCTTTTGAAGGCTTTATTTTATTTTATATAAATACTCATTTTTGTTGACTACTTCTGTCTTTTGGCATACCTCAGAGCAAGGGAAAATTAAAAGCGCATGGTGGAAAAGGAGTGTAGTGTTACCTATTAATTGACCCAAATTTGTATGCAAAAATGTACAAACTCCAAGGTGTGGCTTTTCATACACTAATATCATTTTACTGACTTTGCTATTTACCCTGACTGTGAAACAATTGGTAGTGTAGAAGTGGATAAAATATACTAATTGTACAGTTTTATTCTTACCATGCTAGTGTTTAAAGATATTTTAGTGAACCTATGAATTTGCCATCAAGTTTTAAAAATACATTTTTTTTTTTTGGTAATGGGACTCACACTCAGGACCTTGCGCTTGTTAGGCAGGTGCTTGTGCCACTGAGCTATATCCCTGGCTAAAAATACATTTGTTTTGTTCATTTTTCACAGTAAAGCTAGAGAACCATCCATCTGATCAATAGCAGCCATAGCTGATTCATTTCTCCTTTTTTGATTAATTTATTTAGATTCACATTTCGTTGCTGAATCATCACTAAGAGACAAGAAAAACTGTCTTCCACCCCTACCGGAGACCAATTCTTGGACCTTGTTATAAGCTTGACTGAGACATTCTGAACTTAGACTGTAGGCATTTAACACACACGACAATGAAGTTAGGGGGAAGAGTAGTTACGTTATCTATAGTAAATTCTTGTTTAATTTGGAATTCACGTTAGTAATTTGGAAGTAACTTGTGCATTGTATTTTTTTATTGGAGATAGAAAGGTAGCCTAACATTAGGAAAATTTTCTAAGAGTTTCTCACATATTTTAGGGGCTCTTTATAAGTTCAGTTTATTTTCTACATCAAGTTCAATAAAATTGTACAGTGCTATTGATGCCACAGCATGTGAAACTGCAGAACTTTCAGGATTTGTTTTGTCTGAGACAGAGGCTCACTGTATAGTGCACGCTGGCCTTGAACTCATGGCGATCTCCTGCCTCAGCCTTCTGAGTACTGGGATTATTTCAGAATTATTTTTGAAAAATGCACAATTAATAGAAATGATCAATAGTATTTTTATTTTTAAAAAATTATTAATGCATAAATGATGCATTTAATAATGAACTAAATAATACCTTGTCCCCCAGTCATTCTGGAAAAAATTTACTTACCTTGGAATAAGCCTGTACCTGTAGTCCCAGCACTGGAGAGGCTGAGGCAGGAGGGTTCCTGAGAGTTTGAGGCCAGCCTGGATTGCAAAATGAGTTCAAGGCCAGCTTCAACTGCAAAACAAGACCTGTCTCCCCCCCCCAAAAAAAAGCGTCTCAGTATAGAACTCTCAAAACAAGGAGGGGGGTAAAGCCTATACTAACTTTTTTTGTACTAAAGACAGTATGCAGGGTGCTGGGGATTTAGCTCAGCAGCACAGCGCCTGCCTGGCAAGCAGGAGGTCGTGAGTTCAATTCCCGGTACCGGAAAAAAAAAAGCCAATATGCAGGGGGTGCTAATATAATGATGAGAAAAGTTACCTTTCATACTAATTGGTTTCAGTATGATTTCTGATTTAATATAATAGTTAATGAACTTGGGATACTGACTATTGACACATTTTACAATAATGTCTTAAATATTTTAAGGACCAACTGTAGAATTACGCCAAAGAAAAAAGCCAAAGTCTTCAGAAAATAAGGAATCTGCCAAAGAAGAGAAAATCAGTGACACTCCAGTTCCTGAAAGAACTCCAAAATGTAAGTTAGATTTTTTTAAAATTTTATTTATTTATTTATTTGGCTTTTTGAGACAGGGTCTCCCTATGCATGTCAGACTGGCCTTCAGTTCACTTTGTAGCCCAGGCTGGTCTTGAACTTGGAACAATCCTCCTGCCCTCAGCCACCTGAGTGCTGGGATTATGGGTGTGCACCACCATGCCTGGCTGTAAATTAGATTTGAAGTTTTACTATTACTACAAAAATAGTTATGCTACAAAGTATATTTTGGATGGGTGTGGTGTCCCATGCATTTAATCTCCCAGCACTGGGGAGGCTGAGGCAAGAGAATCACTATGAGGTTGAAGTCAGGCTGAGCTATTTAGTTTAAGGCCAGCTTAAACTACAGTATATGACCTTGTCTATAAAAAAAAAAAAAGAGAGAATGTTTTAATACTTTAAAATACATGACCATATTTTCAAATTTATTCAGTTGTGTGTCCATGAGCAAGCAACCACTAAACCTCACTGCCTTATAGCAGACCTTTATTTCTGATGTGTACCACATGTTGTGGGCACAGATAGCTGATGTAGCTTTATGTGTTATAAAGGAACAGCTTTGGTTTGGAACAATTTTTTCTTGAGTAGAGGAAAAGAGCAGGAGGTAGGCAGAACCCTACCATGCCCCTTCAGTTTCAGCGGAGCTGGTACACCGTCACTTGTCCTCCCCTCCTGTCAGCCCAAGCAAGTCGAAGTTGGTCCAGGCCCTGGGATGCAGACATGTTGTCTGGTTACATGAAAGCCTTTCAGGTCACATGGTAGTGGGCAGAAATGCATATTATTTTTATTTATTTGTTTATTACTTTGTCATGCAGAGGATCTAACCTAGCATTGTGTGCGTGCTAAACTTATACTATACCACCGAGCTACATCCCAGCCCCTATAATCCCTCTACAGAGAAAGAGAAAGTAGTTGGGAGTAATGATAGAGTCTGCTACCCTCTGTCCTGTGGTCATGAATTTTTTTTTTTTTTTGGTCTTTTTGAGACAGGGTCTCGCTATGCAGTTCAGGCTGGGCTTGAGCTCACTTTGTAGCCCAGGCTGGTCTCTAACTTGCAATGATCCGCCTGCCTCAGCCTCCTGAGTGGTGGGATTACAGGCATGCGCCACCACGCCCGGCTGGTCATGAATATTTACTCGCTTCTCTCAGACAAAATACACTCATTCCCTTCTCTGCTCTAAAGGCAGTCTTCTCATAACTTGAGTCTTGAAGCCTGAGGTCACCTTATATACACCAGGGCCAGCTCTGATTGACTCTGATCCCATGCCACTCCCATGTTCAGTGACACACGGGAAGGACTCAGAGATCCCAGGATACAGTTGTATTGATAGCTGATTTATCATAGCAAGTAATTCAAAACAAAACCAGTAAAAGGAAAAGATCTATGGGGCGAGGTACTATAATAAACAAAGCACAAGCTTCCAAAATTGTCTCCCAATGAGATCTTGTCTCAAAATGCAAAAAAAGACTGCAATAAACCAAAATCAAGAAATACTTTCAGTTACAAAGGTTAATATGAGTATCAGAACATTAACCAAAGTAAGGGCCTGGTTATGGCAAGATTTGTTAAAATAGATATATGAAGAAGGTATTTCCTATTAAATCCTTTTAAATGGACATAAAATTTAGTAAAAGAACTGAGACAATTGGCTTACACAAGTTTGGTAAGTTCAAATTATATGTAATGAGGCTCTTAAGAGACATACCTAAAAAAAACTTGTAGGTGTAATTGTTGGGACTAGAGCTGACTGGAGTTAAGGTAAAAAGCCAACAGAAAATTTATATGCTAAAGTTTGAGGCCAGCCTGGGCTACAAAGTGAACTCAAGGCTAGCCTGAACTACATAGTGAGACCCTGTCTCAAAAAGACAGAAAAAAAAAAAGAATCTTAGATGTTTGAATAAATGCATTTTGACATTCAATATAGCCAAAACAAGCTATGGAATATTTTCATTACCCAAGACAATTTCATTGTACCCCTTACTGGAAGATTTTCCCTACACTTGAAGACCATCACTGTTCTGATATTTACCATATTTATTTATTTACCCCTCCCCTCGTTTTCCTGTCTGTCTTTCTCTCTCTGTCTTGTTGTTCTTTCTTTCTGTGTTCGTTTGCTTTTTTAGGTACTGGGAATTGAACTCAGGACCTTGTGCTTGCTAGGCAGGCACTTGTGCCGCTGAGCTACTTCCCCAGCCCTTTTCTTTCTTTCTTATTGAATGCAGAGCTTTCACAGAGCTATATCCCCAGCCCTTTTTAAAAAATTTAAACCAGGCTTGGCATGGTAACATACACCTGTAATCTCAGCACTCAAGAAGCTGAGATAGGAGGATTGCCACAGGTTTGAGACCATAGTGGGGCCACGTAGTGAGTTCAAGACCAGCCTGAACGACATAGTGAGACTCTGTCTTAAAAAAACAAAACAAAAACATTTCAGATGGTTTCACTAAGTAGCTAAGCTGTTCAAGCTGGACTTACATTTGTAGTCTTTTTGCCTCAGCCTCCCAGAGTGCTGGGATTGCAAGTGTGTGCTACTATGGCCAACATACCTTTGATATTGAACATCATATTTGGCTAGTTTTTAAAATCAATGGATAAAAAAATGAACAGGTATTACTTTCTTTAACCATCTTAACCATTTTTAAATGTATAGTTCTATAGTGTTAAACATATTTACCTTGTTGTGAAACAGACGTCCAGAACTTTTTTGTCTTGTAGACTATAGACTTTTAGAACCATTTTGAATGACATAGAATTGAACAGCTAGTACAGAATTGCCATGTTAAGCTCTCCCCTTCATAGAGTTCCCTTTATTGACATTTTACGCTTGTGTGATACATTGGTTACAGTTAACGAGCTGCTTTTGATACATAGTTATTAACTACTTTACTCAGATTTCTTTAGTTTTTATCTAATGTCCTTTTTCTGGATCCCATAAAAGATACTACGTTCCTTTTTTTTTTTAAGGTAAGGAGAAATAGAGTTGGTTGGAAGTAATGTAGCGACTAACAGAATTACAGTAAAGGTGACAAACATCCCAGAGTTTGTAAGGCAAATATAAATATGAATATAAATCAGTTCCTGGCTTATTTCATTAACTTGAAGATGGAAAGGACCAATTCTTGAGTCACAGTGTTTGCCTCCTGGGGCCCGAGAGAGCTTTTCCAAAGAAATAGCCTCACTGCAATAGACTGAGAATCTTAAGTGTCACAGTACAAAGCAGCTGTCACTCCTGGGGCCACTGCAGCCTGGGGCGATGAGTTGTCACATTTTCTTAGGCTCCCTTGCCTCTGACAGTTCTCAGACTTCTTATTTTGCTGACTCTGACAGCTTTGAGGAGTACCAGTCAGATAGATTGTAGGTTGCCTCTTAGTTGGGATTCATCTGATGTTCTTTCCATGATTAGACTAAGGTAATGGGTTTTGGGGAAGAAACTATTTATTGAGTTCAAATGCCATTTTCATCTCATCACCTCTAGAATACATACTACCTTTTGGTTACTTTTAATATACTTTTTCAGATGTATTATTTCAGCGCTTTGCAAAGATTTTCATTGGCTGTCTGGCTGCAGTTACTAGTGGTATGATGTATGCTTTCTACTTATCTGCATATCATGAACGGAAGTTCTGGTTTTCCAGCAGGCAGGTAAGTACAAAGAATTTTGAGCATATGAAAGGTGATTTAGTATTTAAAACTAATTTGACTAGTGTGTTTTCTAGGGAAAAATATATATGACAAGTACGTTCTTATTTACGGCTCTTAGAAACAAAACGCTATGGCAGCTTTTTTACAGTCGCAGGGTCAACCTTGAGATATGTAACAGGGTACTTCACAGAGTACTAGGAGGGTACTCTCCTGTACAGTTAATTTTTTTGAGACTGTTTTGGAAAAATCTGGTCTTAGTGGATAAGAACTGGCTGCAGGTGATGTGAGACCAAAGAAAGAGGCACACAGACCCAGCATTGCGACTGAGTACAGTTTGTTGGGGGACTTAGGGCAGATACATGTCTTGGGTGGCACAAGACAGGTAAATTTTTGTGATTTGGATCAGAAGGGGTAGGGGGCTTATATAATTTTCAGGGTAAACGTGACTTTATCCAAGCCAGAATATACCTGGTTTACCTCAAGCTCGTTTCAAGGATGTTAGGCACATTCCTGGCGCTGACAATGCCAGGGCCCAGGTTGTAAAGCCTCACGTACCACTCTAATTGTATCAGCTGATTGTATCTGGGAAACTATGAATACTAATTGTATGCTGGGAAACTGTGAATACTAATTGTATGCTGGGAAACTATGTGGGGAGTAATTATGGTGGTTGTGTCTCAGGATCATTGCAGTCAGGTCAAGCTAAATCCCAGAGACTTTGAGTAACAGTGAAATGTTAATGGAGTTAGTCAACCTTGTAGTAGTTCTTGTAGCTCATAATTCAGAAACAATCTGGACATTTCAGCATTAAAATATTTTAATGTTTAAGCCGGGTGTGGTGGCGCATGCCTGTAATCCCAGCACTCAGGAGGCTGAGGCAGGAGGATTGTTGTGAGTTTGAGACCAGCCTGGTCTACAAAGTGAGCTCAAGGCCAGCCTGAACTGAGACCCTGTCTCAAAAAGACAAAAAAAAAAAACTTTTAATGTTTATTTATTTATTTATTTATTTTGTTTTTTTTTTTTCCGGTACTGGGAATCAAACTCATGACGTCACACTTGTCAGGCAGACGCTGTGCCGCTGAGCTAAATCCCCAGCCCCCTTAATGTTTAGATTATGTGATTAGAATTTAGAATTTGAGGGGTTGGAAAAGATTAATAGGCAGAACATAGTATTCATTAAGATGTTACTTCATATTACTGAGTGTTTTGGTTTTTGTTTTGTTTTGGAGACAGGGTCTCATTATGTAGTTCAGGGTGATCTTAAACTCATTGTATAGTTCAGGCTGGCCTCAAACTCACAGTGATCCTCCTGCCTCAGTCTCCCAAGTACTGGGATTACCGGCATGCACCACCTCGCCCAGCTCTCATATTACTGTTTAATGTTTGATTTTAAATTGTGTGTATTCCATGAACTCTTTAGTCACTTAAGTTTGCTTTTAAAGGTCACTTGACTTACAGAATTTTTAAAGTATTGAGCTCAGACTGGGTTGTCATTGTGTCTAATTTTGAGCAAGTAGTGAAGGTGACTAAATGTTTCTAGCTGTTGATTTATATATCACCATCAAACACTTAACTGAATAATTACTAGCTGCACATGCATTGATTTAAATATTACTGTAGCATAGGCTTTTCCTTATACATGTCAGGAGAGGGCTGGGGTGTGTCTCAGTGATAGAGCGCTTGCCCAGCATGAATGAAGTTCTGGGTTTGGTCCCTAGTACTAAAAAAAAGATAGATAGGTAGATAGGATAGATAGAGGGATGGGTGTTCTCAAAACCAGTTGTATGTGTTCCAAAACATACCCTCCCCTCAGATTTTTAGGTTGGGAGAGAGCAAGTGAACTGAGAAAAACCAAAGGTTTGAGAATATGAATGAAATTCATCAAGCCCCTTGGGCTTGAAAGTATCATGTATGGGCCAAGAGCATCCTGCCTGGGCGTATGTTCACAATTGCAGATTCTGACATGCCCCAATCCCGCTTAGGATCAAAATCCACCGTTTTGTTTTGTTTTGTTTTGTTTAAGCTAAGGTCTTGCTATGTGATGCACTGTGTAGCCCAGGCTGGCCTCAGACTCATGGTGATCCTCTTGCCTTAGCCTCCCGAGTACTGGAATTATGGGCGTGCACTACCATGCCCGGCCAGAATCCATATTTTTATAAGGTCTCTAGTTATTTCGTATGCACAGCAAATTTAAGAAGCACTGGTTGAGAGTTTAATTTTTAAAATCCTGGAAAGAAACAAATCTGTTTCCATTTAAAAATGATTTTAAAGTAATTTATTTAGTTAATAAGCTCTTAGTTCACTTAACTTGCTATAACAAAATACCCTGGCTGGAAGTCAAGGATAAGGCACCAGCAACTTGAGTTGTGGTGAAGACCCACTTCTTGGGTCATAGCAAGCCATCTTCTTGCTGTGTCTTCCCTGCAGAAGGGGCAGGGGGTCTTTTGGGGACCTTTGATCTTTCTAGGGCCTCTTTTTTTTTTTCTTTTTTTTTCAGGGCCTCTCTTTTAAGGGTGCTAACCCTGATCACGAGGGCTTTGCCTTTATGACTTAATTAACTCTCAAATGCCCCACTTCCAAATACTATTACATTGGGGATTAGGTTTCAGCACTGAATTTAGGGGGACACAAACATCTAAACCATAGCAAACTCAGTGGGGAAAAAAGGAGTCATCAATTAAGTAGACTTGGAGAAAGACTTCCTCTTACACATTCGCAGTGCATAATATAGACTGAAACTCTTGAAAAGTTCTGCAATAAAAGAACTCATTTATTTTAAAATTTTTTTTATTTTTTTATTTTTTGGTTTTTCTCTGGTACCGGGAACCGAACTCACGACCTTGCGCTTGCCAGGTAGGTGCTTTGCTGCTGGGCTAAATCCCCAGCCCCCAAAAAGAACTCATTTAATTTTGTTTAATTCAGCCTTTCTCAAAACTTAACTACAAAACTCTAAGTAACACCCATTAACATCTTAGGAAGTCCAGACTTTAGAAAAACTGCCCCATTAGCTTTTGTTTTTGTATTAATTGGTAATTACAGATTGAATATCCCTTGTTCAGATTGTAGACTCATGAAAGTCTGCTTCAGCATAAAAAGTGTAACGCATGCTAATGTTTTTAACTGCTACATTCTTGGTTCCCAGTAGCCTAATTCTAGGAATGTTTAGTTTGGGTTGTATTTCTGGAATTTGATTTGAAAAGCACTGATTAAGTATGGTATTCGCTACTCTTTTGGTTTTTTTCCGGTACTGGGAATCAAACTCATGACCGCGCACTTGCCAGGCAGGTGCTGTGCCGCTGAGCTAAATCCCCAGCCCCAGTGTTCGCTGCTCTTAAGTGTGAATTAAGGATTTGCTGTTCAGGACACACAGGGACATAGAATAGTAATAGAAAATACTACTTTCTTCTTGTCTCTTTTATTATGGACTTGTGACACTTCAGCTGTCATTACTTGCCTTATTATTGTTGCTATTTTTTAGGACATTCTTTTGGTTTTCCTTTTGAATTTTCCTTATTTAGAAAACAGTTGATTTATGAATTATAATTTATTTGCAGCCCAAATGATTGCTAGATTATTAAAAAAATTAACCTCATTAATATGGCTACTACAGATTAAAGAAGATTCAAACATGTCTTTAAATAAAAGGGTAAATATGTTAATTTGGAAGGTGGGGAGGGAAAAGAAAGGTTATAGCTGAAATTAAAATACTGGTATTTACTCATTTCGTTTTATTTTAGGAACTTGAACGGGAAATCACATTTCAGGGTGACAGTGCTGTTTATTATTCCTATTATAAAGATATGTTAAAAGCACCTTCCTTTGAGAGAGGTATGATAATCATAGTTGTATTTGCCACAGTATTTTTCGAGAATAAAATGTTGTTCTTCAAAATTGGAGTCTTAGAATGCGGAGCTTTTTCGCAGAGAGTAAATACTTCTATCATACTTGATAAAAAATTGGAAAAAGGAGGCATGGAGCATTGTCTTTTGGGATCTTAATAGTATATTTGGTGGCTAATGAATAACATGCTTATTTAATTGTTGAAAAGCAGAATAAATAATCTGGAGAAAAATCTGTCTTTAGGCGTCTACGAGCTCACCCACAATAACAAAACTGTATCTCTGAAGACTATAAATGCAGTGCAGCAAATGTCGCTTTATCCAGAACTTATTGCCAGCGTTTTATATCAAGCAACTGGTAGCAGTGTATGTATTTTTCTTTAGACTTCATTATCTATTTTCTCACATACTTATGAATCCTCAAATTGTTTAATGTCGCCCTATTATCACCCCCTTTCTTTTTTCCATTTAGGAGATTATTGAGCCTGTGTATTTCTATATTGGCATTGTTTTTGGATTGCAAGGAATATATGTTACTGCTTTATTTGTTACAAGTTGGCTTATGAGTGGAACATGGCTAGCAGGAATGCTTACTGTTGCATGGTTCATTATTAACAGGTAAAGTATTTTAATTGATAGTTAACAATTTTTTGTGGTTTTAGTAGTCAGTTCTGAAAATATTCCCACCCCCAAGATCCCCCAACCAAATCCCCAAACCTGTGAGTCTGCTGAGATATCATACCTGTGATTAAGCTGTATCATACGATGTAACACAGTTTACCTTAATACGGAAAGATTACCCGGGGGGCCTGATCTAACTACATGAGTGCTCAAAAGCAGAGTGCTTTCTGTAGGTGTTATCCAGGGAAAGTCAGAGAAATCAAAGCATGAGAGGAATTTACTGGCCTACTGCTGGCTTGAAGTAAGGAGGAAATGAATTCTGCCAATAACCAGTGAACTGACAAGAGTACCCCAGCACTTACCTAGCACACACTGGATCTGGATGAGAATCAAAGTCCTGGCTAGTACCTCAGTTTTAGCTTAGTGCAACTCCACTGGCCTTTGTGAGATAATATATTTCTATGTTTTATGCCACTACATTTTTTAGCATTTGTTGTGCAATTGTTGCAAGGTAATATACCAGTTTTGTATCTCTTTTACAAGTATAGTACAGTGAGATACTTGACTATACCTCTTTTTCCTTGTATTTAAGATTGATACAGCTTCTCGAAAAGCAGAAAGCATCAGATATATCACTACTGAATTAACCACCATAGATAAGGACTCTACATTAATGTATAAAGCACACTTTGAATTAATAAACTCATCTCCTTTGATATTCGATAGTAGAAGTTAAAAGAGAGTAGGGGTTGGGGCTTCTCTGAAATGGAAGGCTGGTCAGAGACGTGCCATCAAAGCTTCCTGGGATTGGTCAGTGTCATAAACTTACTTTGGAGCACTGGGGATTAAACCCAAGGCCTTTCCACTGAGCTACATCTGCAACCCTTTTTTAATTCTTTCTTTATTTTTTAATCATTTAGTGCTAAAGACTGAACCTAGGGCCTCACACTTGCTAGGCAAGTGCTCTACCACTGAGCTAAGTCTCCAATCCCCTCTTTTTAAAAAATTTTGAAACAGGGTCTTGCAGAGTCACTATGATTGCCCAGACATGGCCTAAAGTTACGATCCTCCTGCCTCAGTGTTCAAAGTGCTGGGATTACAAGTGTCTGCCACCACACCTGGCAGTTTATCTCTTCTGTGATAGACATGCTCCACCCCTATAGCACTCCTCCCACATATCACTTAATATGATTACATTTTTAGAAATGCAACATTTCTTTTATTACATATTTTCTTTTCTTTAGGCAGTTGCCAGGTGAAAAATATGCTTTTAAGGTACTAAGATGTAGCATTAGGAGCTGTTCCTTTGAGAATATTTTGGAGGGGTGGTGGCGCTGCTTGTTTCTTTTCTTCTTTTTCTTTTGAATAGTGTTGGGGATTGAACTCATACTAGGCAAGCATTCTCCTACTGAGCTAGATCACTAACCCTTTCTAAATTTTATTTTGAAACAGTGTCTCAAGCTGAGTTCCCTAAGCTAGCCTTGGATTCTGGAGGCTACTGCCTTAACCTCTTGAATAGCTGATATTGTAAGAATGCACCAATATGTCCAGCCTGTGCTGATTCCTTATATCGTAGTTTCTCCTTCTTTTATGTCAATAAATTTTTATCTTTTTAATTTTTTTTGTGCTAGAGATTGAACCCAGAGGCTCAACCTAGTGGTCATGTACTCTTCCACTGTGGTACACCTGCAGCCCACTTTTTTTTATCTTATGTGTGCTTAGTCCTTACTACATTTTCCCTGGCTAACCTGAAATACCCTAGATACTTGGTTTATCAAAACCAGCAATGAATCCAGGACGACATACTGCATCTGGCTGATATTTTCCTTAATTCCTGTTAAGCGTACTTTGTCCCTATTTTTAAGAGGTGAGGTTAGCTGTCCTATGGAAATCCTAACCTTTTCGATTTCTTTCCTTGTATCCTTTTTGTGTCATTTAGCTTTTACCATTATATTGCATGTTTCTGCAGTCTGGAAATTTCAAGAATAAATAATTCAGATTAGAATATATTGTAGATGATGATTTTTCATGTTCTATCCACAATGTTAAAAGTGATGATGCTATTTCAGTGATCCACCCCTAGTGAAGCTGAGATTGACTACTAGTTTTAAAGAGGTCTGTCTGATCTTGCCGTTGAATGGTTAAGTGTGTTTCTTCCTTATGTCTAGAAAATAATTTATGTGGTATTTTTTGGCACCAAATGAATGTCCTGTTTGCCCTGAATACCTGCCTACAGGTTGTAAAGCCAGTTGATAATCTTTGCATGAAGTAGCAGTTTCATTAAGGTTTATAATTTTTGTTTTTATTAAGCTGTATTCTTCCGGTACTGGGAATCAAACTCACGACCTCACGCTTGCCAGGCAGGCACTGTGCCGCAGAGCTCAGTCCCCAGCCCCTAGCTGTATTCTTTATTCTCCAAAAGTAGATTCTTTCTGGTTTTTCAAGTTAGTGTCTCACTATGTAGCCCAGGTTGGCCTTGAACTCCTGCCTCAGCTTCCTGAGTGCTGAGATTACAGACATGCACCACAACGCCTAGCACCTTTGTTACATTCTGGTTAACTATTATGATGTGAGGACAAACGCTTAATTTCACTTTATCAGTTTGCAAAGAGATTATTTTAATAATTGTTTCAGGTAGTTACAAAAATCTTTGTTTCTGGCTTCCTTTTTTTTATTTTTTTAAAGCATCTTTCTGTACTTAGGGATTTTCATTGATTTAGTGGGATGCAATTCATTACCTCCAGTGTTCTTTTTGTTGCTCAGATTTGTCACAAGTTTGGTTCATAGAAGTACTTGCAGGCTGTCTCCTGAGTTCTCTTGATACAGCTTCGTCAGTCTTTTAAAAGTGTTCTTGTCTACTTGCTCAACAAGGTCAGCAGGTTATGTACATTCCTGGTAGAAGACTTGGAATTGACCATTTCTCGTTATGTACATTCCTGGTAGAAGATTTGGAATTGGCCATTTCTCTTTGGAGCTTTGGTTCCTTTTAGTAAAGAATGGGTACTAGGGGCCTAAGACGGTTTCTTATGTTAAAAAGTACCTATTAGAAAGTACTGAGTTACTTTATAGAGTTCTATAATTCTGTGATTTTTTTTTTTTTTTTTTTTAGAAATTTAATGATACCATGGAAATTTATGACAGTACTCATAGACTAAGTCTGGAAGCTCTTGCTTCTTGGAGGAAAACTCTGTTTAGTACAAAACAAGATCATTTGCTCTACTTAAAATAGAGGCCTAGGCTAGGTGCCGTGGTGCACACTTGTAATCCCAGTACTCAGGAGCCTGAAGCAGGAGGATCACTGTGAGGTCAAGGCCAGCCTAGGCTACAAAGTGAGTTCAAGGCCAGCCTGAACTACATAGCAAGACCCTGTCTCAAAAAACAACAACAGAAAAATCCCCAGAAACCTCTGTGTTAAATAGAATAGTTTATTTATTTATTTATTTTATTTATTTATTTATTTATTTTTCGGTACCAGGAATCAAACTCACAACCTTGCACTTGCCAGGCAGGTGCTGTGCCGCTGAGCTAAACCCCCAACCCCCGAATAGAATAGTTTAGAAGTCCTTGTGAAAATTATGAGGAATAAAACAAACAAGTCCAGTTGCCTTATTTAATGTCCCTAGTTTATCCTGTAGAGCTGGAATAGGGATGAAGTAAAAAAAGTGACCTGACACATTTCTAAAATGTGTATTTCATAATTAAAATATCTTAACAAGTAAGTTTTTAAAAATGTATTTTCTTTTTGTTTATATGTTAAAATAGTAGTACATGTTTGCTGCATATAGTGATTACCCTTATCACAGAGAGTTGGTACTCTGAAACTCTTAATACTTTTTACCTCCTCTTCTCCTCTCTCCCTCCCCCCCCTTTTTTTTGTTTGTTTGTCTCCTGTACCGAAAATCGAACTCACAACTTTGTGCTTCCCAGGCAGGTGCTGTGCCGCTGAGCTAAATCCCCAGCCCCTTTTTGTTTATATTTTATTTGTATATATTTTGTGCTATAAAACAAATTTTATTTTTATTGACTTATTTTTTGAGACAGGGTCTCACTATGCAGTTCAGTCTGGTCTTCAGCTCACTTTGTAGCCCACGCTGGTCTCAAACTTGCAACGATCCTCCTGCCTCAGCCTCGTAAGTGCTGGGATTACAGGTGTGTGCCACCATGCCTGGCTAAAATATATTTCAGTGCCATGAAAGAATATGCTTTTTATTTGTCAGCTTTAGAGTTTATATTTATATATGATTACTTAGAAAATCATAAAAAGATACTGAAATAATTCCATTATTTTATAACAAAATACCTGACACGGTCTTATAAAGAAAAAGAAATTTATGTAGCTCATAGGTTTGTTTGTTTTTTTTTTTTGGTACCAGGAATCAAACTCAGGACCTTGTGCTTGCCAGGCAGGCGCTTCTGCAGCTGAGCTGTATCCCCAGCCCAGCCCATGTAGCTCGTAGTGTTGAAGATTCAAGAGCGTGGCACCTGTCTGGGCTCGGTTCTGGAGAAGGCATGGCGCCTATACCGGCTCAGTCCTGGCTGGGGTGGTTTGGTGGGTGCAACAGCAGATGGCAGTGGTGGGATCCATGTTGGAGTAAGGTCATGTCGCCGGCAAGGTCGCAGAGCCAGCCAGTCCACAGTCTCTTGAAAGCATGTCCCAGTGGACCCCAGGTCCTCTCATTAGGCCCCACCTCTTAAAGGTCCAAACCACCTCCCTGTACTGCCATCCTTCAGACCGGTTTCCTATAAAATATTGGGGGATGCAAACCGTGTTCAGACTACACCAGCTACATTATGATTTGTTTTGGTACTGGGAATCGAACTCAGGACCTTGTACTTACCAGGCAGGCATTGTGCCGCTAAGCTATACCCCTGGCCCTATGTTGTGATTATTACGACTGTCTTTAATGGTGTTTTGTGTTACTTGTTCTTTAACGCCAGAATGGGATACAGGGTTATAAAATAGGTCCTGTTTATTTAACTTGAAAGGTGTAGCTATA